CGCTCCGCTGGTCCATACCTGCTCATACCAGTCCCGGTTGGTGCAGGTGCACTCAGGCCACCAGCTGGGGCCGCTGCCGTTGAGTTTGGGGGTGCTCTTGCCTGGGACTGGTTTAGGGGGTACTGGCCCCACATCCCGGCCAGTGGGGATAAGCTTGGCCTTGGTGCGGGGCGTGGGGGTGGCCCCTGCCTGCGAGGGCAGGGTCTGAGAGCTGTAGCCCCCATAACCTGTGCTGGCCCCATTGCCCCCACCTGGACCGTAGGGGTCGGGCACCTGCCAGTCTCCATAGCCAGGAGGCTCGAGGCGCCGCAAGGCGGCCAGGCGGGTCACCTCGTAGCACTCGGGGCACTTACAGCAGTGCTGGTGCTTGTGCATGGCACTGCCCCCTGAGGCTCGGACTCCCCAGCCCACGCTGGCTTCCACGCCGCTGCTGCCAGGCTCCCGGGCACACTCGCACTGTTCAGACCAGGAAGGGGGGGGCACCCGTGGGGGCGCCCGGGCGGAGCGGGGCCTGGGGCCGGGAGGGCGTCCCGCGGCCTCTGCCCCCACACTGCCCCGCACCCAGGGTTCCCCCTCCAGCACTGATGGCTCCGTGTCGCCTGTGGTTGCTCCTGGGCCGAGGCCCAGCAGTGAAGAAGAAGTGGAGTCGGGCCGAAGCTGGATGCTGCGGACCGCAGGCTCTGGTACCAAGGATGGATCTGAGAGGAGTCAAGAGCATCTCTCCCTAGCTCCGTTTTCAGTTGATTCCAGCCAATCAGGGCACAGAATTAGGCAGCAGGCAGTGGCAGGAATGCTAAACAGCCCCTTCTTAAAGGAACAGAAGCAGTGGCGCCCCCAAGCTCGGCTCCAGCTCCCCGGATCTTGAAAGTGTCACGGTTCTTAAGGTGGGGGCAGGGGACATAGACCATGGAATAGGTGAGCTCTGCATCGCCTGTCCTTATATTCCCAATTGTAGTGGTCCTCTGCCTGCACGCGCTGCCTAGAGTGAGTTGCATGGAGGTGATCAATGAATCCCTGGGCTTGCTCCAAGCTGGGGCTACTAGAAGGAAGTAAAGACTTGAAGCCGTGAAACCCACTGAAGGGCTGTTCAAGCAGGATGGAGGAGTTGCTGGTCTCTTACAGGGGACCAAAGAACAGGGCAGCACATGAAGTCAGCTCCCGGCCAATACTGTCTCCTCAGGAGTATCGTTTTACTTGATTTCTAGGCCCTGAAATGACGACCACAATCTCACACTTGATCGTCTTCCATATCAGTCAGGTACTTAGCCCTAGATAAGGGAGGAAAGGAAAGTGTAAGCCCTTGTCCTCATCACCTTAGTTACAACCCTAAGTAGTTATGGAGGGGGGCGGGGGCAGAACTTCAAGATGCCAAGCAAAAAGGGAGTCCAGGACAGGAGGAAAGGCAAAAAGAAACCGGAAAGGAGAGAAACCAGCCCATGGATCTGGAGAACTTGGGGATACTTATTCAAAGACATCTCCTCAGCCTCTCGTGGCTCAGCCGGTTGGGGAGGTGGAGGAAGGGTGACATGCTGGAAAAGCTCTATTTTGTTGTTTTGTTTTTAGCTATAATATCCTAACTGCCTTAAGGCAAACAAAAACTACCAAGATACTGCCCTGTTTCCCCAAAAATAAGACAGTGTCTTATATTAATTTTTGCTCCCAAAGATGCACTAGGTCTTATTTTCAGGGGATATCTTATTTTTCCATGAAGAAGAATACGGTACACATTTATTGTTGAAGAACAAAAAAAAGAAATTTATTACCTGTATACAGTACGGTAGTAGTTGTCATCACAAACCAGCATAACCAGACAAACTGTGAATCCTACAGTATCAAGAATTTCTTGTTACTACCATTATTTCCATGTACAACAATCTATGGTACATTTACTCGCACTTCCTGTCTGCTCCGGCTGCCCTGCGGCCAACAGTGAGCTGCGCGGCGGCACTACGGTCCAGAGTCCAGAGTTACGGTAGCTTTAGGGGGCCCTATTATCGAGTAGGCCTTATGTTCGTGGAGGTCTTATTTTCGGGGGATGCCTTGTATTTCAGCGAGAGGCAAAACTGTAAGTAGGTCTTATTTTGGGGGGATGTCTTACTTTCAGGGAAACACGGTACTATTATTGCCTTAATGAGAAAGTAAGGCTCAGGGAGGAGGTAAACTCAGCTGGAAAATGACAGAATCAAACTTCAAAGCCTAGTCATTTGGCTCCATAGACCATGATCTGAAATGAATTACAGTCAAACAGGTCTATTCTAAGTTCTCCTGCAGAACTTGGATCGTAGTTCGACTGAACAAACATTCATTGAACACACACCCTAGGCAAGGCCCTGACTGAGGTATGAGAGACACCAAGAATCTTTGATTATCAAACACCTGCGGAGCCCTGGTGTCATAGTGGTGAGAGGTTGAGCTGCTAACAGTAAGATCAGCAGTTTGAAAACACCAGCCACTCCTCAAGAGAAAGATGAGGCTTTCTACACCCATAAAAAGATACAGTCGTGGAAGAACTACAGCAGTAATTCTACCCTGTCCTATAGGGTCACTGTGGGTTGGAATCAACTGGATGACTTGGAGTTGAGCTATGTACCAGACACTATTCTAGGGTCTGGGGATATAGCAGTGAACGAAGCAAAACAGACAAAATCCCTGCTTTGTTCTAGTGAGAGGAGATAGATAAAAAGAAATGCAATAAGTAAGTAACATATAATATGAGGGGGTGTCCCCCCAAATGGAATTTTTCCTCAAAAGCTATGTATTATTATTATTATTGTTTTTACAAAACAACCTTATCACCTTTAAAGTATCCTGCACTACACTCCATGCATTTGTCAAATCTGCGATTCCATTCTTGGAAACATTTTTCAAACTCATCTGTTTGGATGGCTGACAGCACCTCCCTCGTTTTTTTCTTCACCTCTTTTATGTCAACAAATCACTGTCCTTTCATGGTCCTCTTCATTCATAGAAACAAAAAGAAGCCTCATGGAGCGAGGTCAAGTGAGTAAGGCACATGGGGCAAGAGAAGCATGCTGTATTTTGCCAAAAACTGGCACACTGAGATGGCTGCGTGAGCAGGTACATTGTCTTGGTGGCAAAACCAGTCACCCATCTGCCACAAATCAGGCCCTTTTTTGGTCACACGCTGTTATGCAATCTTTTCACCACCTGTAAATAGAAAGCTTGATTCACAGTCTGACTTGGGGGAATGAACTCCAAATGCACTATCCCCCTCACATTAAAAAAAAAAAGAGTTTTGTCTCAATCTTTGATTTCACTTGAGCTTTTGGGGGGGCGAAGTGAAAGTGGCATCTTCCACTGTCTTGATTAATGTTTGCTTTCAGGATGCTAAGAATAGCACCATGTCTCCTCACCAGTAATGACCTTAGGAAAATGTCTGGGTCACTTTGGAGCTGTTCTTTCAAAGTACAGCATGTTTCCATTCTAAGCTTTTTTTCCTGGTCAGTCAGAACCCGAGGCACAAATTTTACAGTGACCTTTC